AAGGGAATGGAGTTATAGAAAGAGCAAGTGCAGAGAGGAGAAGAGAGGAATAGAAATTCTGCAAAGAATAGGTGTAGAAGGGAGAATAGGAGAGAGTTTTTGAGAAATGAAGTAGAGAGAAGGAAAGGGAGGAAATGATAAGAGAGTAGGCGACAGGTAAAAGTTCTTCTGTGGAATGGAGTAAAGGAGATTGCAAGGGCAAAAGTGGCATGAAGTGGAGGAAGTGGAGCAGTGTTATGTAATATGATATTAAGGATGGATGTGGAGAGGAGAGAAGAGAGATATAACAGAAGGGGTGAGACAGGGGGAAGTGTCCTGAAGATATCTTTATATTATGCTAATATCATAGATTCTTCCTTCTACGTATGGATATAGGACATTGATTAAGGTTTGAAGTAACTGAGGCTGCTTGATTTTTAAATGGATTAATTTATTGTTGAAGTTCTAGGTATGAATGTGAGCCAATGCATGTTGAATAATCTTTTTTTTTATCATTCCAGGTTTGGAAAGAATTTGCTGCAGGTCTGGATGAAAGATCATCTGTGTTAGCTCTCTCGGTCATGTTTCACCAGAAAGCAGAACAGGTAAATTCTTTGTTCTTAAGCACAGTCACAGTTTGGAAGAAAAAGCATATGTAGTTTGTATTCAGTGTTATTGCATCATCATTTTGCATGCTTTGGAAAGGAATGTATACAACTTTTTTTCTTCCTCCTTTCCAAAAGTAATTCTAAAAGAAAGAAGAGTTGCACAGAACAGATGCTGTACAAGAGATATTTTGAAAAAAAAAAAAAAAAAAAAACAGAACTATATAACATGTATGTTTGTCTTTAAGAAGACTGATTATTAATGATAAATTTCATTCCCAGTATATTGAAAGTGTGCCAACATGGGTCGACAACTGCAAACTGACGGCATTACCTTCCGACATCCATACATTGGAATCCTCAATCCACCACCACCAGTCACTCTATGAGACCATGTGCCAGGCATACACCGAGGTAAGGAAGTTTATGGCAGATGGTACCACTTTGTTTCAGGAAGAAATTAAAAGTTCCTGTTTTTAATGTTAAGTGTAACAGACAATTTTTTTTCTCTCTCTCTCTCTGAGAACAGTTGCTGATTTCTTTTTTTTTTGTAATCTGTAAAATAGTTTTGCCAGAATGGATATATATATTTGTCACTTGCAATATATATTATCATGTTTTCAATGAAATTATATGCTAATCCTATTTTCAATGATATTAGATAATATGTCAGCAGGATTGTGGCCTTTGAATTACATTTTCTTGTTATGTTCAAAGTTAAAAATTGTAGTTGTGACATATTTAATCAATACATTATATTTATTTTCTTAGAAGTATAAGATATTCAATGTAAGTCTCCAATTCAAGAAGGTATCATCTGTGTTTAATTCTCTATACACATTTTTGCTTATTTGAAAATGCACTCAGAATTCAATATGCTTCAGTGGATATATTTTGTTTCAGAATAAGTGTGTTAATGTGTATTGGTGTATTGGTTTCTAGTAATGTATGATATTGCGTAATCTGTATCTGCCTGTCTGTATGATTTAAAAGAATTATAGATAATTATAATTTTTCTTGATTATATCTTTATAATCATTACGAGTATTCTTTCTATGAAAGATACAAAAACAAAAATGTTGTTTTTTGAAGATGAAGTCATTCTTTTGTTTTGTTATTATTATTTCTCTTTACAAATGTATTTTTTTGTAAGTATAAGCAGCATGACATTTTTTCTTCATTACTGTATGATAGTTTATATATACACAGTACTTACTACTACTGTTACTGTTTGCATTAATGTTAGTATTATAATAAAACAAATATTTCAATTCTTGTTGTCATCATGATGAGCATTATCATTAGTTCATGTGTAATAACCAATTTTCACTTTCAGCTGCACAGCGCTTACCAGTCGCTATTAAATGGCCTGGACTCTCTTGTCAGGAACGTTCATGCATCCGTGGAACTGTTCCCAGTAGGAAGCTAATCCATTTTTTTGTTCAGACTGGAAGCATGAGAGGGCAGGAGAACATGTGGGCTTTTGGGTCATTTCAATGAAGAACAGAGAGCAGCCAATAGCCTGTCTTTCTACAATGAGGAAGATACATTATCTTGGTTGTAGTTAGTTCACTTTCATAATTGGACTTTGTTGGCTGCCTTCTGGGTCTTATGATGTACAGGTCTACCATTTGTCATGTAGGTGGAGTTATTGCAGAAGCCATGTATACTTATTTATAAAGATATGTACAGAAATATGCAGTCACTCTCAGGATAAACTAACCATTATTATTTTGCATGGAATTATGATCACTGAAAACATTTTTCAGATAAATTATTTGTTTGTAAATGATAGTCCATCTACATGACAAAAAAAACATAGATAAACATGATTATTCCAAGCTTCTGGTTCTAGAGTAATTTTACACATTTCCCATCCCCCCTTTAAATCTCATGACATGTAAACAGAATGGACAGGTGATTACATAAACAGAGGAGAAAAATATGAGCATGTTGACATATGCTTTCATGTGAGAGGCAAGGCATCGCATGGAGCTCGCATCCTGAATCCTTTCCTAGGCTTACGTACAGTATACTTGGTGAGTGGAAAACAAGTGACTCATAAGGATACATCACATTTGTTCCTGTCATACAATGGACAGGCTGATCATCATGTACTTAATCTCTCTTGAAGAGTAAGTATTTTTCATCCCACAAGGCAGATGGTGTTCAGGAAGATGCAGCATTTCTGAGGGCTGTTTATAAGAGTCCATTTTCTTTTTTTTTTTAAGTGTTGTCATAAAAGTGTTCACAGGTATGGTTATCCAAGGGGGATTCTATAAAAGGATTTGCAGTCTTATTACTCATGTGCTTATTTCATCTTCATGAAGTGTGACAAGAAACTTTTTGTATTGTTCTTCTTGGATAACCTCTCAGTGATGCTTATGCTTGTCTGAGGGCATAAAGATACGGTATCGTAGACTAATGGTGGCGGTTGGTGATGGTTGCAGGTTCACAGTACCAGCAAGAAACTCCTCTACCAGCTAGACCACCTGGTGCAAATTTGTAGCCAGCTGAGGCGCGATGGCCAAATGCGCAGCAAGCACGTAAGCATAGGATGGGTCTTGCATGGGGGTCTTCCCTCTTGAGCATTTAGGCATGAGAGCAGTAGATGTGCAGTTAACAAGTTTAAAAAGATAAAATTTATCTAAATAGTTCAGGTATAATTGTGATTGTTATGAATTTTATTTTTTTTATCATTGATTTTGAATCAAAGGGGTTTTTCAATTGCCTTTTATTGGAAATCTAAGTTTTAAAGTACCTGAACTGATATTATTGGATGGAGATTAAAGGAAGAGATGACAGTGTTCTTTGTTATGTTTATTTAAATTTAAAGAAAGAAAGTATAACAACAATTTGATTTATGTAATTTTATATGTAAGCTGTAAGTTGTCATAGATAATTAAAATCTCAAGTGAAGCAGATTATTAACGAAGCTCAATCTAAGTATGCAGGATGTTCAGATGATATCGAAAAGCCCCTTTTAGCATCCTGAGACACCTCCCCATGCCATTTGCTGCAAAATAGTTTTATAAATAAGCTTTTTACTTAGTAGTTGTGGTCTGAAGGGATATGTTATTACTTGCTGTGCTAAAATTTCTGCCAGTTTCTTGATTTTTAAAACATTGTTAACTTTATAAGAAGAGGAATGTTTTTGCTAGGGTATTCTATAAATGTTTTATCTCATTATGTGTTATGCTTGACTATATTTTTTCTAGATGTATTTTTGTTATTATTGCATCACATTATTTAATAAATGCATATTTAAACAATGTTTGATTATATTTAGAGTAAAGAAAGAAATCCATGAATAGTTGAAAATCTGCATGAGTATAGCCATTTCTTTTCTTTTTTAAAATTGTTTTCTGTTATTAAAGTTTAAAAATCTTGTTTGTTAATCAAAGGTTGAATGATGATAATCATTAAAGAGGATACTTGATTAAATACTTCTTGTTTCCAAGTGTTTTTATTTTGTTCTGAAAGGATGTATTTGCATTCCGTATTACCAAACTCAGAATGATTTTTTTGTTTGTTTGTTTAATTTCTTTCATCTATAAAAAAGCACTACAGTATTTTTTGCTCATGCTTATTGTTTTTTCCTTTTTTTTCTCCAAAATATGAAGAAGAAGCCCCGGGGAAAGCCATCAGCCTATTCTGTAAGTTTAGATTTTTTTTTTAATTTTCATTCATAAAAAGTACAAAATATTTAGTTTTTTTTTTTTTTTTTTTTTTTTTTTTTTTTTTTCCTTTTTTTTTTGCATGTGGCACAGAGGTCACTTTTTGGAACAGTAATCATAATTTATTTAGATGTCCTTTTTTTTTTTTAACATATTAAGAGGATATTTGTAGCTTCTCTCTCTCTCTCTCTCTCTCTCTCTCTCTCTCTCTCTCTCTCTCTCTCTCTCTCTCTCTCTCTCTCTCTCTCTCTCTCTCTCTCTCTCTCTCTCTCTCTCTCTCTCTCTCTTTTCCCAGACAGAAGCTCCCTGTGGCTCTGAGGCGAACAAGCCTGAAATATCATGGATAATTATTACCTTCATTGTTGCTTTTTGTTTCCTTTTTTTCAATGATAGGAGAGGAATATGTTTTTGCAAGTAAGGCATTCGAGTTTGAGTCATTTTCGCTGGTAAAGCATATTTAAAAGTTGAATTATTTCTGCTGATTATACGTTCATGTGATTTGAGTAATATCTGGTGATATTAAGTATATATGAGTCATTCTATGCTGATAATATATTCATATATATGAGTTGAATCTTTTTTATGCTGATGATGTATACATATATATGAGTTGAACGATTTCTACTGATTATGCACATGTATAATTTGAATAATTTTTTGGTGATAATAAGTATATATGAGTTGAATCATTTCTAATGATAATACATGTATATATAAGCTGAATCATTTTGCTAACAATACGTATGAGTTGCATAATTTCTTTACGGATATTTGGAAGCTAAAGCTGACACTGGAAAGCTCGGACTTAGTTTTGATATTGTTTTACTATTTGTAGAATTTCAGCTTCTTCCATGAATTATTATGATTATTTATTATTTACTTGTGCTTCTGTAGGTTTATTTGCTTATATGTGTATCATTTGCTTTGGATTCTGTTTCTGCTAATAACAGAAATTTGTATGTTTTCTGTCTTGATTTAAGTGAAATCTTTGCTTCCTTTTAAAAAAAAATTAAGGGCATAAATGTTATGATATTGGACAAAGTTGATCATTTATAAAACATTTGCTGTTTTGATATGCCTGTGTAAGTGCAGTATATCATAGATTTTAAAGTTTTTGCATGGGACACTGGCTTTTGTGGCACTTGAGAAATAAAAGAATTTTGAGTATTTTTTTTCTATTATATACATATAACTGCTATCTTGACTAGTGCAATGTTTTAGAAGAAAGAACAAAATCATTTTTCATCTGTTTAGAGTATTCCGTTTGCTTTCACTTTTAATGCACTGCTTATTTCATTAGAGGTTTTGGATATAATAATTTTAATGAACGTACACAGTTAAACATATCTCAGCACAAGTTTTTGGTAGCTAATATTATATATATTAAAACTATTTTAGTAAGATCGAGCGGTATTTTGCTTTCCCAACTTTAGCATAAAAAATATCGTGGCTGATAAAATGTAGCTTAATGTTCGGTTAAGAAAGAGAAAATAGGAAGATGTTTCCTATGTAGCCAAGAACATTACAAAATTTTAAAGCATAATGAACACATTAACCAAATATTTCCGTAGAGGAAGATACATGGCAAATTATTAAGGTATGAGAAAAAGAAAAAAAAAAAAAGAGATCTTTTGATGGGAGGAAGACTTTGGTTAGTTGTTGCCATAGAGGAGTGAATATAGTGAAATTTTAGGATAGAAAGAGTCTGTGAGAATATAGCCTAGAGAGACAAAGTAGCAAAATGTTACCAGAAAAGAGAAATTAGTAAATTATTACCAAAAGGGTAGAATAGTTATAAAAGGTAAACACATTTTCAGAAGGTTAATGTGAATCAAATGTCATTAGGGCTTTAGATATTTTACCAGAAAAAGAAGAATGTACTTTAGATAATGTCAGGAATGGGTATTTTGTCCAGGAAACTGGTTTCAAATTTCACTTTAACAGTTATGTTATTCAAGACATTTGGAATTCATACTTTGCTTTGTGCACATAATGCTTATTTTATTTATGGTTGGACACTTATGATATATCATTCACAGTGCTTCTCACTGGCTTAGGATATTAATTCATAATGCTTTTGAGCTTTTTGTGTGTTAAAGCATACTCAAATAAATATTGCCTGTGATAGCAAAGAGAAGAAAAAAATAGCATGTCCCCATTCCCTTCCAAAACAGGTGACGCCCGACGGCAAGGTGGTGTATCGAGGGGGACCACAGCAGCAACGTGGCCCGGGGACGAGTGGAAATCCAGCCGCCGATTACTCTGAAGGTGCTAGTCATGTCCTGGCGGTCATTCATGAAATCTTGGCACACCACCGAGCTGTGGAGCAGAGGTGGTCAGCCAAGAAGCTCAAGCTACACCAAAGATTGGCACTCAGGCTGTTTCAGGAAGATGTCAAGCAGGTGTGTGTGAAAAATGATTGAAGGGAAGAAGTCATTTTTATCTTGTTCTTTTTCTTTTTCTTCATTGTAAAGGAAATTTTATTGAGATTTGATTATAGTGACAGGCCATAGTAAGTAAAAGCAGAGCTCAGTCATTAAATTATTTTTGTATACATGAAACCAAGGATGTTGGAAGTGTGTTGGATATGCAGATCAATTTTTGCATGATCGTCGATTTTAACAGATTCTCTCTCTCTCTCCTTCCTAGGTGCTGGATTGGTTGCAGACCCATGGCGAGGTATTCTTGCGGAAAAACCCTGGCATTGGACGTAACATTGCAAAAGCCAGAATGTATCAGAAGAGTCATGAGCACTTTGAAAACGTTGCCCAGGTAAGATTTTATTCAGACGTTATGGGACTAGATTATCTTCAGCTTAGTACAGAAGATTAATCTGTGTAGATTGCAATCCTTTGATGTTTTGTTGTCCATCAAGATGCATGTAGTCATTAACATCTCTTTTTTTTCTAGAATACTTACACGAATGCAGAGAAATTGTTGCAAGCAGCAGAAGAGCTTGCACATACAGGAGAATGCAATCCGGAAGAGATATATAGTGTGGCCCAAACACTTGACTCACACATTGCCAGCTTTGCAGCAAGGGTCCAGCAGCGACATCGGCTGCTCAACATGGCTGTCTTGTTTTATACTCATGAGAAGGAGGTGAGTGTTATTCCTGTTTCATTTAGTCATTTATATTATATATCCTTAAGACTGACTCTGATTTGCAGATAGGGAGTTTTGTCTTGATTGAATAAAGTCTGTGATAGTTGTTGTTTTCAGCTACAGTGGTTAATTTTTTATGTGAAATTGTTTTTTGTAATTATACTGTGTTCTTATATTGCCATGAAAATATATCTAGACCTCATAGCCTAAAGTTTTTAGATGATCCATTGATCAGTGCCCTTGCCTTCTCTGTCAGTGTGATAGCAAGCCATTTATCAAGCTGTATAGATCTGGTATTCAGCAAAAAATTTATGACTAATGATATAACCCATTGACAGCTTTTATCATGGCTGGAGGAGCTGAGTACAGAACTAGAGAGTGAAGAAGGTGTTGACGAGTCTGCAGATTCGGTGGAGGCTTCTGAAAGGATGTTGGCTCAGATGACCACACAGCAAGACTCCACTCTGGATG